CCCCCCGCAAAACCCCAACACCCCCCCCCCCCAACAAAGCAGTAGAGGCAACTTTCACCATACTACCTGAAGAGCTTTCAGCTACCTAGAGGAATATATCGCTCACGTATCTACACACTCAAGGGAACCTGCCAATTGCTTTTTATAATTGCAGAGCACTTCATGGCTATCTTAACACAGACTGAACACGAGAGACATGAAGAGCATAAGGCATATCACAGTATATCTCGATTTAATTTTCTTTTCCAGAATTCACAAACGATCTTCAGTTACGTGGTTCAGCTTGAACTCTGACATGACTGGGATGGAGGGGCAGGACGTGTTGGGAATCTAGAAATTAGGTTTGCCTGAAAATGGTCCTTTTGACAGATCCCTGATGACTGATACCGATTTTTGACCTTACAAATTGCTTCCACAAAAAAAAAAAAAAAGGCAACTCCTCCAAACACCATTTTATTTTCAACATCTTTTGAAGGAATACTGACTCCTCTCTGAACATCTATTGTATTTATCTACTGAACAGCTAAGCTATGAATAAATGACTAAACCAAACAAGGACAAAATATGCACAGTGAAGTACTGAACAGAACTGCTTCGCCAAAGTGTTTTCTCAATGCCCATATGCTATAGTATGTTTTTGCTCCTTACTCTTCATTAAAATCTCCAGGGCCATCTCATTTTAATGCTGCAAACCCTCCCTACAGCGCTGTGCCCTGGTGCTTACAAGCCTCCCGACAATGAAGGGGGTTTATGCGAAACGCAGGTTTCTATTTGCAGTCAAAGGACTCATCTCATTCATTTATACAAAAGCCATCTGTCTTTCCTGAGCATTCCCAAGGAAACATGGCACCAAAATTCAAAGTATATTAGCCAAGGAATTATCTATGACAGTTTGAAAACTGTACAGCTGTCTTGTAAACAAAAGTAAATTCAACACCACTGCATTTGAAATGCAGGGCTAACTGGTTGATATAAGGTGCATGGGGATATTTTCATACAAATTCTTTAAATGCTTATATATATATATATATATAAAATCCAAGAGCAAAATGAGAGAAGATCAAATAAACTCCCTTTCAAGAATTTCTCTGTCTCAAACAGGATGATTTACTTTGAATCCCTCACCACCACTTAGTCTCCTCACCTTCCTTCTGAAGTGATTAGGTTTGAAATACATTGCACTCCAGTATAAGATGGTTGAGTCCACAGTCAGGCACATATAGGACATTAAAATTTTAACCTCCATGTTGGGGGCAAAAATGTGAAGCTTGTTTTTCAGAGGTCTAAAAATAGCCATTTGTCATTTTTCCATCAGCAGAGCACTCTTTTGAAAGAGTAACACGTAATGCTTTATAGGATGCACAGTGTATGCCAGACAAGTCAACGTTAAGTCTGACCCATGTCAGTCAGTAATTTTTCTAAAGGCTTTCCTCTCACCTAGAAGGTGCCCTCCTAGCCTAAATACAGTCTGCTTTGGACTAAAACTCCACCTTCTACCTGAAGGTGGTCTCTAGACTCATGTAGTTCCTAGAAAAGTGAAAAACCTTCTTCCAAAAAAGCTGAAACCATCTTTCCAACTGAAATTCCATGCTACCACACACTTCCTGAAGTCAATAAAGTGAAGATAAGTTCTCAGTTTTGTCAGGGTTTTGTTCCACAACATTCAGCAACAAGATCACTGTGTGCAATTATAAACCCATCTCTCACTCCAAAATGGTACTCAATCCTAAAGCTAATCTAAGAAGATTATCTACAGATCTAAGAAGATACCAGAAACACACAAGAAGTCAATGCAATGACATTCGTAACTTTATTTGGCTGTTGGTGCTGTGCTACAGCTGTAGCATTTATTCTGCCTGTATGAGCGATATAGAAAATAGCCTGCAAATCCTGTGAAAACATTCAATACATTTATAAAAAAGCAGCAATAAGAAAACTGAAAATGCAAACCAGAACACTATAAACATGTGGGTTGTTTTAAAGCGCAGGTTTGTGCTGCTAAACCCAACGAGGTCGCCATGAACCCCCGGCAGATACAGCTGGTCTGCTGTGCATTCTGCAGTGCATGTGTAAGAAAACATTGGACCGGAGCTGCATGGGAAGGTCACAGACTCCGATGTTTCATCACTATTGTCTACATCAAAATCACTTGGCAGAATGATTAAACACAAAAAAAATCTGACTAAGAAAAAACATCAAGTTATGCATGAAAAATGAGATTATGGCATCAGAATGAAGGTCACTGCAAATATGCTGACTAGGAAATCACTTCAAAGCTAACTGCAGTAAATGTGGCTTGGACCTGTTGCTTGAAAAACATGGATTTTCTATTTATGTTACATATTCACTTTTTTTACATTTACACTCTGTAATTCAGGCTGAAAGGACAGAGAGAGAGGTGACAAGTCATAACAAGCATGTCTCATCTGGCAAAGAAATGAACCCCTCTGTACATTTTGAAAATGACTGCCACTTTATGCTGGACTATTATATACATACAGTTAAACATATGCAAAACCAAAAGTGGAAAACTAAAGCAGCATTTTTAAGCCATGAGAATATGGTCAGGCAGAATAAAAGGTCACTGAAATAAATAAGTATAATAATCTTACACTACAGACATGCATAATGCATAGCATCTTAAAACAGTACTGTCTCAGAAAGGTAACATTTCTATTTTCGGTACCAATAAGGACTACCAATGCATGTGACTTGGAACAGCTATGACTTCAGAAGTATCTTGCATCCTATTAGCAGGCAAGAGTTTGATGGAATGTTAGGACACAGAGTAGAAACAACAAAAGAAGATATTTTAATGGCAAAACCAAAGTAGTACACTGACTGTGCTGGGCAGCAGAGGGAACGTGCAGCCCAGCATACTCCAAAGTAAGGTAAGAGGCAGTCTGAAGGATAAGGTGGTTATCCTACCTTCACTATTAAGCAATTGCTTGCTTGATGCAAACACTGGCAAGCAATTCCCACCCCTTCAGATGCTCTCAGCACCTCCAGTGGTTGCCCTCACGATGCTGAGCCCAAGGCAGAAGTGAGTTATTTTATTTTATATTTTTAAAATAGAAGTATCAGGAAACTAGACACACTAATCACGTTTTTACATTACATTGACCCTCAATTTAAAACACTAGAAAGAGTGTTTACATTTCTGGTGCAAAAAACCAGTTTCATCAAAAATTAAGTTGATTTCTCACTGACAAGCTGAAATACGTGACAGTGTTCAGGAGCACTGCACCACTGGTCGCCCCCACCTGAGAAGGTCAGGGCCACCTTCTGCTCTAGTGAGAGCTCCAAACCGCATCTATGGCTGGGACGAAAACGGTCTAATTCAGCCTCTTGGTTTCAGTCTACGCTCCATTTCTGTGCTGTATTTCGGTCCAGCGCTAGCAACAGCTGCCGTGTGAGCGACCCTAACGCTGCATGAAAAGTGGTTTTCAAGTTTTTCCGTCTGCAAGTGGCCGCCGCTCCGCTCACAGGGCAGCCCTCGCGGCAGGGCGCCGGCCCAGGACCCCAGACCCTAACCGTCACACCTCCGCAGCGGGTTCCCTCAGCCCCCGCCGCGCCGGCCGGGCGACTCACGCGGGGCGAAGCGGGGTGCTTTGCTGTCGCCAGTTCTTCCGCGGACGCAGCTCCTCTCGAGAAGCTGTGGAGCCCACCAGAGAGGTTCCTTCTGGGGTGGAGGATCTCCCCCAGGGTGCTGCTGCTCCTCTTGCACCCTCACCAAGAGGTCCACCCCCTGCTCCTCCTCCCGCCTGACAGTTCATGCAGCTCATGGCATGCGACAGGGCTTTTTCCCTCTCCACAGGGAGCTGGTTAACCCTTTCCTTGGAACGACAGTAATGCCCATTTTTCCATCTAAGGAGCCCCAGCACCTTTGCTCCCACTGCTGCTGCCCGCAGTTCGGCTGCAGAAGGCAGTAAACACACCCGCCGTGCCTGCACCTGACGCCTGCTGCCTCAGCTTTCCCTGCTAGACAGTTCTGTTTCAAAAGCACCCCTTCCAAGTTATAAAGTGACCTTTCGACAGCTTCTCCACCATTACTTGGTCTTCACGATAAACATTATTTCCCCTCTCCCTAAAGTTGCTAGTATAAGACCAGTTTTTCAAAGTTACAGTAATTTACCATATAATCCTCAGCTATGTAAAGGTTATTGCCACAGAAAATGAGTTGGCTCAGGCTTTCACCGGTGTTTAAAAAAATGACTACTTAAGTCTGCAAATTGAAATACAACATCTAATTAGGAATCCTCTGATTAATCATTATTCTTTGCCATCTTGGATATTGCTTTGATAAATGAGGCTTACGAGTCTTACGAAGTCTTAATTACCAATATTCCAGATGGCTAAGAGTTGTACACAGGGTTTCTCTGGGTATGTGGAGCAATGGAAGATATCTACATTATCTGTGGCTCTAAACGCATACACATATACTCAGGTCGCCTTAACATCAGCTAACCGTGACGGAAGGTGCACAAACAAATGAGGCACGCTGCTCATGCAATGCCTGTCCAAGGCAGCCAGTAACACACCCTACACTTCCCAGGAAAGCAATGCAGTATCTAGGGTTACAAGACTGGTATCACATTCAGGAGATGAGGCCCCAGAGCCTAAAACTAGAAGAGATGCCTGTTGTCACCATGTGAAGCTTTACAGCCCAAGGAGATGTCTCCTAAGCTACCTACAAAGACGGCATTTGGAGGACACCCGAAGGACTGTATATCTAAATGAAGCCAACAAGCCGCTGTGCCAAACGAAAGAAACTTCCTTGTCAGGGAGGAGCGAGTGGAATAACAATGTGGTAAAGCACCATGGAATAACCATGTGGAACAAGCGGCCACGCTCATAAGGATTCAGGCAAGCAACTCCACTGAGCCATCAAACGTACTTCATTCTTGGAGAAGACGCAGCACGCGTTTCCAGCTGGCCCAAGGCGCGGAGCACGAGGTGCGCAGTCAGTAAACCCGCAGACCCACCTCTGCTCACACTCCTGTCCCTACAGCACCATAGGGACCGGCTCCAGCCATAGTGACGAACCTAACTGCACTGCTGAGCAGCTTCTCATGCTTTTTTTTTTATTATTATTATTTCTGAGTAGCTATGGGTTGAAAGAAACACTCTAAGAAGAGTTAAACTACCAGAAATCAGGGTTCCAGTCCATTGGGAAAGATTCAGCTTTACCAAGCTACAAATGTCAGCTTGCAACAGTTTACACAAAAATTTGAGAAAGCTGCTTCCCCTCTTCAGACGTGTCCTCCTGCTTTCAGAAAGTCATGGCATCTCTCCCACTTCCAGCAGGGACATCCTCCTGTGCGTTGTGATACCAACTTCAACTTTTAAACACAGACTCCCAAATCGTTTGCATCCTCCCCCTCCCACCAGGTTAGCACCATCACAGCTGGGTAGTACAGCAATCTACAACAAGAGCACCAACTTCCCGGCATCCCGGTCTTCAATGGGGGGAAAAGACAGATACTGAACAACACAAACTATACCTATAAAAATTAAATTGCATGTAAACCCATCACCTGGCACATGCGAGTGTTTGGGTATCTGATGAAACCATCTCTATATCCAGTGTGAGAGTTAGCATACAGCAAATCAGGAAATGCAGGTTTGACCTCGAGCAGTGTTTGCTGACTGCAGGACTTCACAGAACCATATTTGTACTAGCCTGATTCACTAAACCTCTTGGAGAAGGCAAGTGGTCCCAATCACCTTTCTAAATCAACCAGTTACTACTAACTTTCATTTGGGAAGATTTTTGCTCATAACAAGCAGTTGGATCAAGAGGAATACACACTAATTTTGGGACCACACTTTTGGAGACTGAGAGATGTAAGCCTAATTACTCTTTCTACCTTATAGGTCAAAGAAATAAAAGCAACCTTATCTGTAGCTAATCTCTGCAAATTTTAGTGCAGCTTTCTTCCGAGGATTACCCTCTTCACATCCCGAGTGTGCAGACTGCATCTTTAGGTGATGCACGAGGGCCAAACCACACAGCTCACTATCTTCTTTTGTAGCGACCAGATGGAAAGAAGTACCTGGGAAAATCTTTGACAAGCCAGTCTGTTGGACATAACCTATCCTGAAAAAAACCTCTTGTAACTCTTGGTTTCATTTAACCAAATAGAACAGAATATAACCACAGCTGCCAAAGCCTTTGGCAAGTCTCGTTTCTCTGCAGTCAGTGATTTGCAATCTGATAGCATCTTACAGACTCAGGAGTTTTTTCAGGCATTTGCAGTACAGCTCATGTAGACAAATACATTTATCATCTGGGGGTGAGAATGTTGGAGAGGGTATCTTATTCAGTGTAGAAATTATTTTAGATTGACTTCTCCTCCAGCCTAACCTCACCTGAAAATGCAGCAAACCCATTTCCATGGCTCCTGTCTGGGGATTACCAGACCTCACAGAATTCCAAAATGCAGATATAAAGCTCCTCTGGCCGACTCCAAAACTAAACATTGCTGTCTTTTCCCTTTTATATCTTCAGATAGTTTGTTACACATACAAACAGAGGGAATCTGTGCTGGAAATCTGAATCAAACATCCTCCACCATATAAATAAGTATTTAGGCTGTAACCAAAAAGTTAGTCATTTTAGCTTTGTAGGAAACTTGGTCAAGTCTGAAAAGTCCCCATTTAGGAGGCAAAACTAGAGCAAAGAATGTTCCCTGCTCATTCTTCCCAAGTTTTATGTATTTTTGGCTGATGGAGACAAAATCAGCAACAAAGATTACTGAAGATATTTTACACAGCTGCAGTACAGTCTAACACAATCCAACCATGGGAATGCAAGCTTACAAATAAACCTGCAACAGGTTTGTGTAACCCAGAGCTCGGACACTCTCAACACACTACACATTCGATAGTACCAACACCTCATCGAAATATGTTTTTAAACCTTCAAATTACAAAATCCCAATACAAATTAAGGACGTTTACTCACACAGGTTACTTTCCGGTAAATTTGAGCAGCATTCTGGCATTCTGAGTAAGGGTATTCTGAGGTAGCCATTTCCAACATGCACATTCCAAAAGCATAGACATCCACAGATTCATCGTAGTGTTCCTCATACATTTCTGGAGCCATAAATTCTGGTGTACCTACACAAACATGCACAAAAAGAATGTAAATTTTTTATGAAGTCTAAACAGCTTTAACCACAACCTTTTTCGCCTATAAGGAGTGTGCCCATTACAGCTATGTAAGGGTGCATGCAAGATTATTTCAAAAGAGGGAAGTAACTAGAATAAGCTCAAGCATCCTCCTCCAGGGAAGAAACCCAAAGTCAACACACACACTTACATACCCATGGCTCACTGGTAATAACACAAGGAGGAAGAGGAAGTGGAAAAAAAAAAGTATCAAAACTTCAAAAATTAACAAGAAAATGAGATATGGCACATTGCCTGACCATACTGGAAGTCATGAAATGGTTTCTTTTTCTGGGTGAAGAGAGGGATGTGTACAGGCTTGTGGTGGTGAAAAGGAGAGAAGAAACGAGAACCTTCAGTCTTGTTTTTATCAATGCAAATGTTCTTTTTTTTTTTTCCTCCAGAGATACATAGCAACCGGCCAGAAGACAGACAGCACTTTGAAAGCAAGCAGTATCACAAATCACCTACAAAGTCACGCACAAAACATTAAACCTAATTCCGTCACTGGTTCAGTGGGACAAATCAGTGAGGCTACTCACAGAATAAGGTCCTACTCAACAGGGATTAGGGTGTCAGAAATCTGATGCAACTGGATAAATATTAAGTGAAGCACTGTACTTACTGCTTCATAATGGGAAATTGCAGCTTTATGACATGCAGCGACTTACAACGCCTGCAATGTTTGCACAGCAAACTACTCTGAAAAGCGTGGTCTTATAAAGCAAAAGGGAAAAAAATTAACACCTAGGTAATTTATTCCAGGAACTGTATCTCGTAAGGTAATTTATGCTTAGGAGTCAAGACTAATTTATTTCCTTTTTACATTTAGAAAAGATGAAGGAAAGGAGAACAATGCAGTCACGTGTTGCGGGAGCAGACCAGCGAGCCGCGAGCACTGGGATGCCAAAAGGACCACGAGAGGTCTTGGTCTACGTGAAGGACACAGCCAAACTCTGCCCCTCCAGCCCAGCAGCAGCCACCTCAGCACCCAACCTCCCCCCAGAGCCATGCGGCAGCCTGGCGGGTCCGTCCGTCTTTTGTTACGACATCTCCACACCAGCAGCAAAAGCACAACTGTAATTAAATTAACACATACCAGGAAAAAATATTTCTCGTATATGTTTGGGGACTTAATTTAAGTTTGGGTTTTTTATGGCAACATAAACAATGTCTCTCAAAATTAGTGTCTGTCAGTAAAAACTCTTCTTTGGCACGTTTTCTGAAGTAGACTTGGCCTAACACAAAACAAGCCTCAGCACAAGCATACCCCTAAAATACATTTTGCAAAATTTGGGATCAGTCTCTCCCCTTGTTTATGTTCCTTCCACCTCAAAGATACTAATTCCTTCAGCCTTTGCAAATCAGCCAGACCCGTGTCATGAAAGCTTAACTTAGTACCTGCTCTTAGGGTTTTTCTCCCAGCTGTCACACGGGCAGTGGCTGCTGCTCTGAAACGGTTAACAACTGCCACAGAGAATGTTTTTTGGAGCTGCTACCTTGTTTTAGAAGGAACAAGACTGAGAGGCAGTGAATCTCATAAATTATGGAGCATTTAAAGCAAATCTGAAAAAGTGATTGCAATAGTCTAAGCAGAAAAGGAAATTCTTGACACCATTCCAAAATAGCACAAAAATTACATTTTCCCCCCCATCCCTTGGGGGTGGGAAGGAATACATACAAGTATCCTTAAACAAAACAGACCACCTAAACGTAAAGCCGCTCAGCATCTATTCAGCTCCTCTTGGCAGAAGGAGTTTTGCCCTGGCTCAGCTCCCTGCAGAGATACACCGCAAGGTCAGACGAGCATCAGCGATGGCACGAACGCAGCAAGGGAAAAACTGGACCTCAGCCATGCTGACTTCATTCCGTTCAAGCCGATGTAAAATTGCAGCTACTAATATTCCTTTAAAGCTACTACATCTATGGAGGGGGCAGAATTACTCATCTCACCCGTGTTTCCAAGCCCTCCTAATTCTTTCCTGGGAGCAGCACTACTCATGGAAAAGATAAGCTCGGTTATATTGCCAAATGAATCCAGACACCTCGCCAGCAACCTGCAGCCCTTTACGGTATTGAATTTCTTTTAGACATGAGCGTGCTTTGACAGTGTTGTGGTAACAACCAATTTTACAGAAACCTGTATTGGTATTACTGACATTATTCCCAGTATTGGTATTATTGATATTATTCCATTATGTCCCATGGACAATTGTTATACTGCAAAAAAAATTATGTGAAGAAATACTGACCCTCAACAGAAAAAACCCCACCAATTATTAGAAGTAAAAAAACTAGAGAAACTTAACAGATATAAACCAACATGTTTTCACTAAAATCAACAAGGTTAAGAGCAAACCCACGGTAGCCAAGCACATATCCAAAATTTCTATCATTTTGACTTCAAAGATACTGGGCTCACTAAGCATTAAGGTCAATGCTTTTGTATAAATAATCGTAAACAATTATAATCTCTGAAAATCTGAGATACTAAAATAATTATTTCAGCAACTACTACTTGAAAGATAGGATGCTATTTTCATGTATAGTAAAGGAACAGTGTTTGTCACTATCAGTTTGCTAACTCTAATTACCTAGAATCTAATTTCCATTTATATTGTAAGCTGAAATACAATTACGTGCATTATAACTTCCCCTACTTTCAGCATAATTTCTCAGGAATTTGCAGCTTCCTAGAACCATCACCTACAGATCTGAACAAGAGAGATTTGCTACAGAAGCTTGGGTTAAAAACACAAAATGTTTGAGAATTCAGGGAAACATTACATTTACACAGAAAACATTAAATGTAACTTTCGCAAGGAAACGACCTCCTTCGACAGTCATTCAGAAAACGTCCTCCCAGTTCAAGCAAACCCAGGTTCTAACACTCCTCACGCAGGCACCACCTAAGGGCATCAGCTATTGCACATCCTAGTGGAAATTTCTTTTAATTTCGTACCTACTGATTTTTAATAAATTGCAAACGTTGTTTCAGCAGAACTCTGCCAGGACGGCGTCGAGGCAGGGACGAGCTTTGCAGTTGCCTGCAGAAGCAGCCTGTTTTGCTGATTCCCCAATAAACGGGGATAAGGTGTTCCAGCCAGACCAGCTCCCCTACAACCTCTCTGCAAAGGAGAGAAGCCCAGCTCCGCGGGGCACTACTGCCTGCCTCTCCCTTCGGCAAAAGTACCCGTCCCTATCCCAGCGCCGCTGAAGACTTCCTGGGGGCTTTCCCAGGCTTTTGCAGCACTCCCTTGTTAGGGAGAGAGCAGGGCATCCTTTCTCTTCCCTCTCCCCCCCCCCCTCTTTTCTTCTCCCCGTCCAGCAGGCACCGAGCCCGTTCTCAGGAGGATGATGCACACAGGTTGCTGAGAACCCTTGCTGCTCCTTTTGAAGGAGAGCGGAGAAGGATTTGAGGATATCAAGTAATATTTCAATTACGGAACACACAAGAGAAGTGTTTTACCATTGTGATACAGAAGGAAGAAGATGATACCATTTCCTCCTGATTGTTTTTTATAGTGGTGTAAAGGGAACAGTCACAAAACCATTTTAATCTCTACTACCAACTTACAAGTGAAAAAGCCACTAACGCAAGATGTGAAAGGCAGATATTAGAAAGACACCCACTATACTAACAGAATGACGCCAAGGGGAACAGGAGGATTACCTATTACGCTTTTGGCAAACGAAGCTCTCTTGAGGGTTGCCAGGCCCAAGTCTCCTATTTTCACAGATCCAGTTGGTCCAGTAATAAAAATATTGTCACATTTTAAGTCTCTGTGAATTATTGGTGGAGTTCTTGTGTGCAAGAAAAGAAGACCCTTCAGGATTTGCCGGCACCAACTACGCAGGACTTTTGGTTTCATCACTTTAAATCTCTTCAGATACCTAGAGCACAAATATAGACAGAAGTGGGTATAAAGAAAATGAAGTGTTATTAGAGATTCTAGGGGCTTGAACAGCTGAAACTCCATTCTGGATAAAAGCCCCTTCTTAGATGCCATAATAGCAGCTCAGAAATATCACAAAATTGAGAGAAATAGATCTTTTCAAAGGAGGAATTACAGCATTCATTTTTAGGGAGGAAGATAATGACCATTTTTGGTGCAAATACAACCAAATATTTACAAGTCTAATAGTACAGCAATTCACTTCATGCAGAGAAACGCTTTAGAATATGTTTCATATCTTCAAATCAGAAGAATACTGAAGTTTAATTTTAACCACAGGACTCTGACCTTTGTACCATGCACCTGCGTTTTCTTCCATTTACCTAAAATACCGATTGGGAAGGTACATTTTGGAAAAATGTAGAACCTGCTAATGCACTGGCAGAGTAGCACACTGGATATATGCAGCGATGAGTACTGCTCCCATTGGGGCTGCAAATCTGTTCCAGAATTCATGCCAACTGTTTTATATCAACCTTAACAAGATTGTCAGAACCAAAAGCTATTAATTAATATTGTTTAGTAGATAACCTAGAGCACCTTCTGGTTCAAGAAGAGAGGCTACCATTCGAGTGCTATTCTATCTGAATTTTCTAACAAAACATGCAAATACAAGCACAAAAGCAATCACAAAAACACACCCTGACAAATTGAAACGTCACAGGCAGAAGATGAAACACACCAGAGAACAGCTTCTCGTTGCATAACTGAAACAGGAGAGCAGGGAAAGAGAGATGGAGGCCAAAATTCTTCCTGTCGGATCAATGCAGTTCAAACGCAGGGACAAGTGACAGACACCAGAGAACAGCTCCATTTTTTTCTTTTATCTGGAGATGCCTTTTTTCAGAATATGAAAGTAGGATTTTTCTAAAAATTTCCATCGCTATTCTTAGCCTCCTCACCAGGAGCACAGTACTTACGTCTTTAGTGTTCCAGAGGTCATCAATTCAGTAACCAGCACGATGCATCTTTTGCCTTTTACACAGGATTCCCAGAAGTCATAAAATCTCACAATGTTTGGATGCTGTAGACCTTTCAACATTTCTGCTTCCTCTTTAAACCTCTGCCTCTCTACTTTTGTGAGTTTTCTGTCCTACAATCCAAAATAAGACATTATTAGTAGTGAACGGATAAAAATAACATAAAGGCACTGCGTTGCTAGGGTATTCAGAATTTTAGATTTGTTTTACGCTTGTATCAAGAGCAATTATAAAATATTTTATGTAAGAGATGAGCAGTGTTTATGAACTAGGGCACTCGCCTTAAACCCCGTGTCAAGAAGACAAAGACTTGCCTCTGAACAAAGAGATGTCTGTGCTATGCTACGCTACATGACAGCATTAATATTTCAGACAACGGAAAAACACCCGTGGCTTGATGGATCAACACACAGCTATTTACTCCTTGTTTTGGTTTTGTGAGGCTCGTTATCCAAGAGATCAGCACCCGCAGGATCTCATTTCCAGGTATGGATGTCCTCACAGCTAAGCTGCTGCTGTCTTTTGCAGCTGGGACTGCTCACTGCCTTCCAGGGCTGCTCCTGGAGCCACGGCAGTGACCACCAGGGGAGGTCCCCCAGTAACCACACTGGGCTCCACAGCCCAGCCCAGCCCTCCGGGGACCGATTAAAACAATACCGCCCTCCAAAAAACCAAACACATCTATTTCGCTATTTGTTTGCTGTTCTGCCTAGTTTTACAGACTTTTCTTTAAAGCCGACAAAGGAAGGACTTAAAGCTGTCCTTCGGCCTTTTCTGCAGGCTGCACATTGGCCGCATGGAAACACTTATTCTTTTAGACTACAAATGTGAGGAATGTCATGTTCTACGGGTCTGGTTTTCCAGGCGCCTCTACCCTAAACTCCAGGCTGTGCAGCGACCCTGCCAGGAGCACGCAGAGCCCGGCTCCTCCTCCCCACGGAGCAGCAGAAGCCTCCAAGGCCGCCTGGACCTCGTTAGCAACAAGGAGCCCCTTACGGCAGGCAGCTCAGATCCACGCTCTAGCCTCTTTACACGATGTAAAAGAGCAAAACGGGAGTTTTGCCGTCACCATCTGGTTCGTCTCCCCTGGACGGCTGGTCGGGCTGGGAGCGCTTCCCTCCGCTGCCCTAGAAACGAAGCTTTTTCATTCTTTAAAAGGCACAATTGTGTAACTGTTCTTACTTACAAAAGCAAAGGCTCACAAATCACAAAGATTAATTAGTTCATATTTTAACCTCAGACATTTTCCTTTTCTCAGTGCTCTTAGGGATGTTTATAAGAGCATATATGTAGTGAATTAAATTGGCACCCAGCTGATTTGTAACCAAGATGCAGAGGGATCAGGCCACTGCCATTTTGATAGCCTGCCCTCATCTGCAGTCGCAAAGAACTCAATACTGCAACGAGAATTTCCGTGGCTACAAACAAGTCAGCTCTTCGCAGAGACTTCACGAGAGGAGTAACCAGGTTGAAATGATGATGCTTTGCCTCTTCTTGGAAGACAGAAAACCTGCTTCCCCAGCGGTGCGTGTGCATGGGGGGAGCGTTTCCATTTTACACCGTGGCCGCTGAGAAGGTTCTCAGTTTTCTTTACGTTTTACAGAGCAGCATCAGAGCTAACGTAGCCCTGAGCAACAGCAGCCATCTGGGCTGGCACAGCGGGGTGCCCCGTGGGGACCGATGCCCGGATCCCCCCGCACCCAGCGGCGCTGCCGGGGACAGGCAGGCAAGCAGCGTGCTGAACACTGACAGCCCAGAGCAAGGCAGTTTTTCTATGTTAAAAAAAAAAAAAAAAGAAAAGAAAAGAAAAGAAAGGAGAAAAAAAAAGAAAAAAAAAAAGGCAGGCTGCCTAATGAGCCAGGGCAGAAGAGCCTGAGAATTGCTTTCAAATCCATCACTTCTTCCCCTACTGCTGAGTTTCCTCTTAATTTAAACCCTGTAGAATAAATCAGACACACTGCTATTAAGGAGGAAAAGGAGCAAGTCCTTGTGTGAGACAGGAAGAGCAGAGTGTGGGCTAGCAGAGAAAGAAAAAGGCCGCAACACAGATCCAGCAGTTTTTTAAAAACCTTCTAATTAAAAAAAAAAGTAATACCATACCCCTTGACTCATTTCCAGATTTCTGAGCACTGGGAGAAATTTTCCACTGCTACTTTAAGGGTAACTTTTTAAAATATCCTTCAAACATTGCAGACAATCATATTCTGTATATTCTACATATTAGGAGAGCCAGATCATTTGGGCTGCTGTCTGAATTCAGAGTGCTAAGACAGCAAGCTGGGCAACTGCAACGAAGTGATTCTGGAGGACAAATACGTATTTTATCTGTAACTACAGTAGAAAGAATCTGGATTTTTTTTTATCAAAATGATAGCTGAGCATCTTTCTCAGGAGAAAGCCTGGGTCCAGTACTAACACTTGAGAGGAGAGGCGAGGGCAGGGAAGACATAGAGGCAGGGCTTGGGGCAGGGCAGCTGCCCTCACATGCCACGTTCCCCACCACGGGAAGGGTCTCCGGTGCTGTAAGGGCACAAACAACCTTTCCTAAATTCCTCCAGGCTGAACCTGACCCATGAGCTGTTGGCTAAAGCATAAGCTGTTTCTGAAAGGGCTTAACAGTTGAACTGTTTCCTACTCTATGGAAGCAGAAAAGCACCCGTTTAACTGCATGACTCACTCGGGGTTTAATCCAAACCCAAGAAACCTTCACTGGGGTCACAGACACTTATTTACCATCATATAATCCACACAAGGCGAAATGTCCTTATGCTGAAGGTAAGGGTGTAAGCCTGAAACAACCTTAGGACATCAAATTTTAAGATGGGGAACAGGATTCTTTGGAAAGGTCATGCCAAAGGAAGCTAATTCACTTAGCTGGATTTAAGGCATCCCTTTGCATAACCCAAATTTATCAAAATTCGGGGGAATGAAGCAAGTTTCCAGGTTCGCCCAAGGAGTCATCAACTATCATGCTATCTGCAGCAGCGTTTACAACATCGTACAGCTGAACAAGGAGGCTCACGGACGCCGACTTACACGTGATGGCCCTGCTCCTCCGCAGCTTCAGCAAGTGCAACAGCACCATCACGCCAAGTTGACAAACAAGCTCGCTGCTCACCCTGCTCCACTGCATTTATGGCATTACTGCTGTTCTGAGCTTCCTCAAGAGACGAGACTTGAAACTTGGAAAACGTTCCTCTCAATGTGATCCAGGAGATACCCATATTAGTTTGCAGATATCTACACGCTCCCTCTCGTTTTAAGGCATTCACACTTCTTGGCTCTTTCCCTCCTCGTTGGGACACAAAGTCTTGGCTCAAGAGGCGACATTGTAATTTCATCTCAAATAATAGAAAGTTTCTCAAGCCTACCACTTAGCCCCAAGGTTTCTAAAATAAACTTCAACCTTCAAAAGTCCACAGCAATCGCACTGAGCTGGTTTAACTTTTCCAGACAAACTGAAGTTAAACAGAACCAAGCAAGAAGCGAGATAGCTGCTTGGTTTGTGTTGTTTCTCCATCTGAATAAACTGTGAAGAATAGTCAGTTTAGTCTGTCAGCCACACAGCTGGAATCAGAGCACCAGAGGGAGTGGACACGGTAACAACGAGCTTTCTCACTCCCAGAGCTTTAGATGTATCAGCTTTGCAAATACCCACACAACGCAAACTCATCAATCACCCGTTATTTTACTGCAATGCCATAGCTAGAATCGTGCCCAGCAGCAAAAAAGCACTAAGTCATACAAAACACAAGAGCAGATAGGAGATTGCATCCACTGCCACACAGCCTACAAAGCAGACTGGTTCCAAAAGGCATTCCCCAGTGCAGCCACATGGATCTGTGGCCAGCTGCCTTAACCCTGTGTTGAGAATTTGACATTTTATTATTGCAGCTACTCTGGGCTCCAGCGGTTAAGTGCTTATGGAGTGCTTCTGCCGGAATAAACCACAACAGCAAGCATTTGTGGTGCATCTCGGGCACAGCACCACCAGTCACACATACAGCCTGGCTGGCTGATTGCTCCATGATTTCACCTTTCATATAGATAAACAAGCCTTAATTGAGCTGCAGTTATACAGTGTATCCTCCACTATGAAGGGCAAGCCAACAGACAGATACTAAACAAGTAATTAAGAAGAGGTTATAAATTGTAAGCTACCTTTTCTTCATTAATTTTCCTAGCTTTCCTGTTGCAAATCAGATTATAACTGCATGGTCAGTTTTAAGCATCAAACCATTGAAAGCTATTCGCTTCTTTTTGGAAAGAGGAAATAATTCCCGATTAGTACTTTATAGCCTCACTCTTGGTAAATTACACACCCATACAGAGAGACTGGAGCAAAACAATGTTTGTGGCAGGAAGCTACATTAAAGTAAATTTCCTATCTGTAAATCATTTTTCTGCTAATCTAACACAGGTATGTTCTCTGCTTCTCCCTACTCGTTGCAGGTAGGGTGAACAAATACCTCTCTTTGTTAATATAAAATTTATCCCTTCGTTACGTTCCTTAGTGGGGAACAACAGCAAAGACTGGAATTAATAAGTAAATGTGTTAACAAAACGAAAGGGAGAGCTTACGAATTAAATTTCTGGAATGACACCCAAATTAACAGCAGGAACATGTTCTGTTAGTCATCCCCAAGCATCATTTCCTCCAGGTTGTAACATATGGGCTCTGACTAAGACTTTGAAAGTTATACAAGCAAGACACTGGCTTTCACCCGAGTCTTTAGAAGATTTCTAAGAAAGATTAACACTGAGGTTGTTCAAGTAGTTTCTTGCCTACTTACTTGTGAGGGGCTAACAGATTTGGGAATAAACTATACCCTCACCCCAAAAGGAAAGGGGATCAAATGAAAGAGGTAAAAATAAGACCACACAAAAATTGCTTTTTACATAGCAATGCCTGTAACCATGTTACGAGCAGGGTTTGAAGCACAGGTGTTACCAAACTAGAAAGTTGTGCTGCTTTGCAGTTTTGCTGTGTTTAAGTTCCTCCTTTTAAAGTCTTGAATTTTCAGTAACGTTAAAAAGAATTAAATTATTTTAAACACTTTATAAGTGGCAATGACTTAAGAATGAACTCACACTTGCTAGTGAGCGAGCCCGG